GAACATTTTTTCAAAATCAGGAAATTCTGAGTCCATATACATTCCTGCTACAATCATATTCAGGAAACATTTGCTGGAGTGATTAAAGAAGGAAAAGATAAGAGTCAATGAAACTTTTTAAAATCAGAATTATAATTGTGAATATGATAAATGTACAGCTAATCTCACACAATGCTGAAGTACACCAATCATTAATAGAAGTGTTAATGAGTGCATTGTGTTTCCATACTTCTTTGATAATTTGCCAAAGGTCTTCACATGCTCTCTGTAGAAAGATGCATGGGATATTTTCTGACATGGCATATGCATGCCCTCCTGTTCATACGGTGCCCACAAGCACTACCTGTTTGATTATTAATTAGATAGCATTTGTAGATTTCACTGAGTTCTCACCTATCAATCTCATTTGAGTATTGAAAGCAATGAACTGCCTGAAGCCAAGTCTGAAACTGGAATAAGTACGCAGCTTCCATCTCAGCTGCTCCGTTTGGAGGGTGGGCACTTCCTTGTTTAGTTGTGCCTACCCCATGCTTCTATTTCCTCTTCTTGCTACTGGGAAATAATGGAAACTGTAGCACAGCCTCCCATTCCAGAAAAATCACATTCTAAAAGTGCTGTGTTTCCCCCAGAGAGAAAGAAGTATGGAAGGAAAGAAGGAATAACAACTGCCCAGTTTCAGATATGGTATACTTGCTGTTGCACCATAGAATTTGAACACTTGGATCTCTCTTCCTGTGAATAATATTCAGTCTTGGACAGACTTTACCCAGTGTATGGAACTGAAGGATAGATATATAGTCATATTTTGTAGACAATGCAGAAGGAGAGCTGTGTTCCTCTGCAACAGCCTAAAAATCAGGAAGAGTCTGGTTACACTATTTCAGACTAACAAATTTTATTAAAAGGCATAAGCTGTCATGAGTGACACCTCACTTCATCTGTATCATATGTGCTATTTTATAGCATCGGCTCTCTTTCTGACCTGGGGATAAGAGGATAATATGGTTAACAGCAGTGTGATTTGATGTGTATGTTTTCAGAATTTTAGATCACGATATGAATAAATTGCAATCAAGTTATTTGCTAAGTAAATAGTTCCGTTTGAGAATATGGGCATGCACAAATATAACTGCATAGTGCCTCCTTGACATGCACCTGGGGATTTAAGTACCTATGCATGTAGGGTGGATATAGACTATCTCTGCAGCAAGGAAAGAGCCTGCCCTGTGATCCCATTCCACTCCATTTAATTTGGAGGATAGAAAGTGCTTAAGAAGGAGGTGCCCAGTGTTTCAAGGATCAGGCAATCTACTGCAGCTTTCCTCCAACTTCCCATGTCAGACCTCCAACCACCTGATATCACTAAAAGTTGTGGTAAAATGGCAGTGCATTTTTTCTCCAAAGTAGACAGTGAGAATACGAATGGAAGAGTTTCCTGGTTCTCCTACCATCTTTATCCCTCCCCCCCCCCTTTGCCAATGTACAGGCTGAAATTGCCATGAAAATGTGTAATTTACGGTTGTTTGGGGAGTTTCAAGAAGTCCACCTCCAATTTTAAGGGAAGGGAAGGGAAGGGAAGGGAAGGGAAGGG